TCGTAGCCACCTCCACCATCCCAACAAAAATAATTCCTGCTGAACAGGGCTTCGCGATCGGCAGTCAACCGCACATTTAGATCGCCGGAGAAATGACGATCCAGATGGTACATGTCTCGCCGTGTTTTGTGCAACTTACAAGAACATATGGTCAAGAACACGTCAGTCAAAGGGAAAATTAAATAAATTGTCCGTCACAGTACACGACAGAACATTATTTTTTAGCTTTGAAAGTCAAATAAAAAATTGACCCGAGTATATAACCACCTTTTCCGAGCATTTTTCCCTGGCTTTGATTGAGATGATTGCCTTCAAAATGAAACCCATGCGACGTAACACAATCTTTTTTTGTGTACAATGGAATTGTTTGTTAATTATTTCCACCAATCAGTACGCCGTTGACAATTATAAAAGATTTGAATGGGGTTCATATTGGGCATTTGGTCAGATCCTTAAATTAAATTAAATTAAATTTAAATTAAATTAGGAAATTATATTAAATTAAATTAAATTAAATTGTGATTAATAAAATTGTGAATGTTTTCGGTGTTGGTGCCCGCGAGCCTCATCATGTACATGCAATGCAATCCTTGTGTGGGAAGGATGTCTTCATAGCGACAAAAACAGGAAGTGAAATTTTGTTTTATAATTTGGTACGCCAAAGCTGACAGGGCGCCTTGATTCGCGGCGCGCCCAATCAGATATCACTGCTTAAGATACGCAATTAGCCTATGCGATCCCGCACGGTATCGTGTATAGGCCTATAGGTCGAAGACACGGGACCGTGCAATTTGGACCATGCCTCCATGTGTTTGTTTGTAAAATTATTATAATAAGTATATTAAGTTCAAGCTCTTAATATTATAAATAATTTTTTTGTGAATCAAACACATATCTATAAGCTCAATCCGAGAGCGAACTTCGCCGTCTATGATAACGTATCAAACTATATCTCCTCTTGTTTGGCCTAGTGTCTATCAGTAAATTCTTTGTGAGTATTTTGAATTATAATGTTGGTAATAACTTTAGATCTGTTTATCCGTAGTTACTAACTAAACTGAACTAACGCTGTTTTCCCCATTAACTTTAAATACATAGTTGCACATACTCTGCACTGTTTCTTTAACATTATAAGAATCAAGTAGAATAACACACATAAATACCAAATTAGTATAATGTACAAATAGTATTAACACAATACGTTAATTTAATTGTTGAAATGATGATTACATCTTTATTTTTGTGATATATACTAGATACTAAATAAAATAATTTAGAGAACACAACAATTTTTGCAAGAAGGCTCAAAATTATTCCTTCTTGTTTTGCTATTGAAGTGGTAAAAAATCACAATCAAGCAACCTATGGCTCTGACTAACTATGTGATTGTTAGTGCACGTTAAAGGCATACTTGTAAAATATGTGGCAATACTATAATTATTGCTTATTATTGCATACAGGCATATGATGATAAATACTGTTCACTTTATTTACGCAACTGTGAAATTCAAAAGATTAAATGCATTTAGAAAGGTGTGGTAGATTGAACACTGTCATTCTAATAAAATATAGAATATAGTGGGTGTTATAGTATATATATCTCATCTAAGCTGTTATATTACAATTTTTATCAGTATTATCTTGAATGTGTAAATCTAATAAGAAAAATGTATGATCGACGTGGTACTAAACCTTTAGAGCTATAACCACTAATTATAACTCCTTAGGTGACAATGTTTTTTTGGGGTGAATTTCTCGAAAAACAGGTCACTAAGAGCAAAATATTGTTTTAATTTCTTGAAACCACACGCATGTAATAGTATTTTTGCCAGACAACGCATTTCACTAGTTCAAACTCCTACAAACTTGATGTAAACAAAACACATATTTGTCGCGTCTTCTATTGTCAATGTTTCAGTTTGTAAGTTTCTGTAGTTTGTAAGTAACTGTAGTTGCCCAGATCCACAGGTAATCGGTACTTGTTAATAAATATAGTTTCAAAAACGGCTAACGCTATTGAGATAAACATTGTGTTTTATATAAAGCATGGTAAAAAAAACTTTATTGCTAACATCTGAATGACACTGATAGGCTAATTAGTAGTATGGAACCATCAACATGTACCTAATGACTACATTCGACATAGAACTTTGCACATGTTTCGCAGCCATGGATCTTTAAGTGGGAGCACACTTTTGGTGATGCTAAAAACGTTAAAGTTAAGTACGTTTTACCATTGCCGTTTAACTCGTATTATACACAGTGTTCACCCAACCCATTGTGAAATTGAGGTTTTTGCTGCAAGTATGCTGTCTTTTTTGCTCCGTGTTATATTTATCATAAAAGATGATATGTTAACTATAATAACCATTAACATTAACAGTTATGTCAGCACACATAACTGAATATTTTCGTTCTCTCCTACATATTTCTGAAATCAGTTTTGTATCAATTACTAGGTACGATACATCAAAATAAACAAAACATCCACATCATTGATAAGACCTATAATTTGATATTACACAATTATACATACCATCATACCTTATCTATATAATGTTGGCATTAGCTAGCGATCAATGCTACAATTCACTCTATGGCATCAAGAATATCGAATTCATTTAGCGATGTACATAATGAGTATACACGTAGTGGTAAAATAAAGATGCTGTTTTAATATGTCGATGCGAACAACAAATAATTAGGGATAACGAAGCAGATTTAAATACAATGCCTCTAACCAAGAATATCGAATTCATTTAGCGATGTACATAATGAGCATAAATAAACCAACCATCACGTAGTGGTATAATAAAGATGCTGTTTTCAATATGTCTACGCGAACAACAAATAATTAGGGATAACGAAGCTGATCTAAAAACAATGCCACAAACCAGCTGCTGAAAAACCAATCTCCAATCGAAGTATGTGATTTTTTACAAGACGAAGTTGACTGGCCTGGCCCAGTGTCGAGTGTAATAAGCGTTAGAGTGCAGTGAATGTTTCCAGCCATATTTTATTTTATATTGTCCTATTAGATGTTATATATATACATAGCTATATATTTTGATATTATGTTTATGAACATATATTTTATTAATAATTTGATCGTGTACTGTTGCATAATTAAGTTTTGTTTTGTTTACCATATTATCACACATATTGAGTGTTCACCTAGATAAAACATTATTGTTGTGTGAAGCTTCTTGTGACAGCAACATCATTTGCGAGTATGATGGTACATTACTTATTATTTTGATGCAATAAATGACGTATCGTCATTACACATTTCTCATACTGGACATACAATTTCACTAAACAAAAGTACGAAAAGTCAATAGGTTATATATGTGCCTGTCAATGCACAGGGGATGTATTCCAATCAGGGCATTTGGGGTTTAAGTTTGAGAGACAATATAGTCCAAATTTATTTTCCAGTATCGACAAGTCGTTATCTAAATTAATTACATACGGGCGTTCTTCCTGCAGCTAATGTCATGTCATGTTAGCAAAATCCGGTTACACGTCTATATCTAATGGGAAAAACAAATTCAACATCTTCAAGAAATGGGAACTCAATGCATTTAGCAATGACAGTTTTTGCTGACCCTCCAAACAAACTAATCTGTTTCACATTTGACCTTCAATGTATAACACTTATATTATATTATATGATATATACTATATACGAACAGGCGATACCCAGCCACAAACAAATGGCGTTCTCTATTAGACACTCACCTTGCCAGATCGTGTTGGTTCGAATAGATCTGAAGCATGGTTCGTACACATTAAGACTGGTATTTTTTTGCTGCAACATCACGTGCTCATCTCGTTGCGAAACTTTTCATCTTCGATTTTTCAGTATGCTGTTTTTTATGCATGCATAATACACGCGACATGTTTCTATTTCAGTAAATTTGCTCCTCCATTCTCTTGTTAAATTGAAATCGTCCAGAAGCAGTGATATATCCAAGTTGACAAAACTTGTTCGATCTCCTGGATAAAATCCGCAGAAAAACAGACAGACATATGGACAGGACAGAAATGACTCGTAAAGGCGCCTCAGCAGCACGTGGAATGTTGACGTACATGTATTTGTGGGAATCATTGCATTTACAGTAGTCTATTGCATATGCCAATCTTACCATACAATTAAAGAACGCGTTTGCTAGTTACATCTACTTTATTATCTAATTGCATTTATTGACTGACATATCAAAATATTCACATCGGTTTGGATTGTTATGTTTAAAAATGTTTTATGATATGTTGTGTAATCCAGGTAGTGGCTCATTATCCTATGGTGCTCTTCGTAAACAAGGAATTTCTAAAATAATAAAGCGAAAACATATATTACTGAATAATGTTCACAGTCCCAACTTATCAAAACAATGGTATGACAACAACTGCAGTCAAGAAAGCTATGCTACACCTGAATGTTACAAGACACACTTATCATGGATAATATCTAATATTCATGATATTCTTTGGATTTCTACAGTCTCACTTATCAGTACATACATCTGATAACGGGTGTACATTTCTAGTATAAGAATACACTTATTGGTTATCACATGAGAGTTGGTCAATGTTGTATAGTCGGATGTGATTCGATGCCAATTAGAATGATAATAAGAATAATTTAATTGTAGCCTACGCCTAATACGACGATATATTGTCGTTGTAGCTGAGGTGAAAATGATTCAAATAATTGCGCCCAATCTCCACAATTTGATAGTAATAATTCCATTGTGTCTGTACAAGAATTATAATATAATTATAATGCTTACCACAGATGTATCCCTTTTTTCGTATACCTCCATCAGGATTATCACCGCAGTAATCATCATTCCACTTCAATGATCTCTCTACCCTGAGTGAACGAGATATCAAAGTAGACAGTACATGTGAGACACGGGAAATAACTATAACTATAAATTAACCCATACATTACTTTACTCTATTATATATTGTATCTTATAATTTAAATATTTACCATAATTGCACACAATCCTGGCCATTTATTTGATCTTTTTGGTGATTATTGTTTGGTTCCAACGTTGAACCGTCTGACCAAACAAAATTACCCTCACTGTCGCGATCATTGAGCCCAATCCAGAAACCTTTTTTAACTTCTTCGTCAAGAGCATTTGTTAACATGTATTGTCTGACTGTCGTGTAAATATCGTGGGTATTGAGTGTTGCCAGTCTTCCTCCATCCATCTCACATTTGGTCTTAGCTTCGGCCCATTTTAATTCGTTTGTGTGAATTTCATAACGACTACAGCCTACAACCACGCAGTTGGGTTCTGGAAATATAACATTAACCAATGTTAACCTGAGAGGATAACTATGAAGCTTTAAGCTGCTGTCATTAAATAATGAACTGTTTGTCCCTGGGTCCGATGAATGTGTAAATGGAACAGCGCCGAGGACTGAAACCTGACCAAGGCCCAAAAATAGTGCGTTTATTAACGATAACGGCTACATAGAAGTACGAATTAGGCAAGTTTTTCGTGTTCTTTGCGGCGTCATCTGGGTTTGTGTGACACAGCGTACGTGTGTTGGGGAACTTTTGTATCAGGTGTTGCTGCTGCTGATATTCTATTTTTAAATAGTGAAGAGAATGTTGTACCATCCACTTGGTTCACGTGAAAATAAACTAGCCTATAGAGGAGGTAAGTCCAATTAGGAGCATTTACGGTGTTAGTGATTAGACTCGAATGCCACATCAATATTAAGCAATGGGCTGGTCATTTTTTTAGGTACAATTTGAAATAAACATTCTGCACTTATTCGTTTAGGCATTGAAAACTGTAAATTAGTAACACCCTAATTTGAGATAAATAGCATTCGTTTTCTAGGTTCTCTGGCACAAAACTTCAATACATTAAGGAACTGATGGACCTACCTATACACGAACATGCCTCAATAATAGTTTCACCGTTAAGTTGAAATACATATCGACCAGGAACACCAACATTCGTGGTTTCTTCGATGTCAATCACTTCTGGCTGAAACGAAGATGGCACTGCAAAGAACGTCACCCCGTCGCCTGCGTTAAATCCGACCTGAGATTATGACCCAATTTAAATAGTGTCAATAGGCAATAAGCTTATCAAACTCGCTTAATTCTGTGACAGTGGATTTTTATGCGAGTAATATTGTTGTGTATTTGGATGTATGAAAATTGAATCACAAGAACACTTACTTGAGCAGGTGTTCCGCCGACGCCTTGGGTATTACCATAACTTGCTGTTCCTGTTGTCCATTCAATGTCACAATAATTATATATTGCAAACGATTTCTCGCCATCCGATATCAGCACTGCTTGGAATGTATTTCTCTGTTTCATGGACAAAACAGTTATTATCGCAGGTGCTACACAGAAACTAGTTTTATGGATTAATGGTTCATGATATATTAAATTTGTATATGTTGGACAAGTTGTTCACATTATTATGACTTCCGTTTGAATGTTTTTTTATCTACATACTGACTTTCATATATACATATGTATCCATCGGTATTCTGCATAATATTATTGCGGTCACATCTGTATTCTGCATGCAATTATTGTGAACATTTAGTTTACGATGTAACTGTACATTCAATTATCTCACCAGTTCTCTACTAGCGTCTGAGTGGGCGCCATAGAAAGCAGTGTTGTCCCAAGTAGCTATGAATACCCATACCACATCTAACAAATCACATGTGTACGTGTTGATGTCTTTGATGGCACGTGCAACAATTTTGGGATCTGTCGTTTCCCTCCAATACACGTTCCCACCATTCCCTGTGTCAACATCTGCCCAAAAGGGTGCAACCATTTTCCATTCATTGCCAAGGGGAAATTCTATTGGAGTATATTGCCAAATTTCTCTCACAAATGAAATCACTCCGTTCGTGTTTACCTACAACAAACATGGTAGTTGGTTAGTTACAGATAAAGCAAACCATGTACAAACATTGGTAGTCAAAACGATTTGGTCTTACAAAGTTGTTTTTTTTTGTTCAAAATCTATATGGAATTAACAATATAACCATAACAATTCAGTAAATAATCTAATAAACGGATGTTCTTACCCATAATGAGCTATGACTGATACCGAAAAACGGGAATGCATGATTAATGTTAATTTCCCCGGAGCTTTCGTCGTCATTGACGAAGTTTGCATTATCATTAAACACTGAACCATATGGATAAAATTTATCTAAAAGTAAATAAAACGAAAATAGGTAAATATTACAGCAATTGTGTAATTGTGAATACAGACTACATGGCTAGGGAGGGTGAACTTTTAAAGCATTACTTTATGATAATCAGTTTAATCTGGTATTTCACTAGAAACAATCGACACACTAACTTATTATAGAATTAGACGACGCTTTTCCTAAGTAAGATTGTCGCTGTTCTTAAATTTTCCCAGTTCAAATATTGCAATTCATGCTATATACAGCTGGGCACAATCTTTTTATTATTACTATAAAAAAAAACTCACTGCAGTCATCAGAACATGGATTGTAGGTTGATTGCATGTTTTCTTCAGAATAGTGATGATAAAAATTATAATTACGATAATAGTCATAATTATCATCATCAGAATCATCATCATAATCATCATCATCATCAATCTCAGTGTCATAATCGCCGTCATTGAGTGTTGTACCGTAAGCGTAAAACACTTGGCAGTTTGCTTGCATTCTCAACTTGAGATCTGAAACAAAATTAAGGTATGGATGCAGGTTTGTAAGCACTTTTATATGTAAAAGTCTTGGCTTACTCGAATTGCTACAATAAATATAACATCCCGAATAAACTCGCTCAAATTATCATAAAAAGTGCGAAAATGCATATTTTGCATGCACTGCATAATTTACCAAGACAGTAAATTAATAATGAAAAGTAATGAATGGTAATTTGACTGTAAAGTGCTTCTGGCATCATTGTTAGAGAAGAAAATACCAAATACACACACCTGGACGTTTTTTTTATAAACAAAACACACTACACACATAGTAAAGGAATTCCTAAACCAACGAGCAGAATTTCCATAAGCTTTGCAGGTTTGAAAACCAAAATTTGGATAATCCCCATTTTTAAACAAGCAATCACGTATAACATATAGTTTTGATATCTTCAAATTAAAAAAAAGTGACCAATCTTTTTAATGCAATAAATGTATGTCAAATTAGGGATCTATATTGGCTACATGACATCCCATAGGCTTTGGATTTTGCTTTCAGAAATATTATCCAATAGAATCCCGAAAGAAAAAGAAGTTAGAATAATATCCTAACATAAAGCAAAGTGGCCTTGAGTGTTTACAACAACAGCGTTTGATTAGGCGATTCGACACAATGACATTCAGTGCAGGTTATGTTCAGTCTTCCAAGATTTTATCAACAATAATCAATGGGAGGTGTTCCGAATATAATAGAGTATGCGGAAATATTATTTAATCTGAATGGTTGAGCAAAGTGATTATTGTAACTCTGTTATTCATGAGTAACTTATACCAAATTAGTACTGCCATAAAACATGTATTGTTTTCTGAATGAATACTGTGAAGAAAAACATGTATACTTAATTACGAAGACAATTCCCAAATTGTAAAACTCCGTATTGAAATCCGTACCGTTCTTTTGTGTTTGCCCTGTCAAAAATATAATTACATTTTTATTTTTATATATTTATTGTGCAAAATTAAGTATAGTCAAGGCGTATATGGCATGTATTCCCATAATCGTCATCGAGCAACAGGTGAATATGCATTGGGATACATTTTACAAGAAGACAATAAAGAGCTGTTTGTATTCACAGTCGGATGGTAGATAGCCAACCGATGGTAGTAGTCGAGAATCAACAGGAACTGAGAGACAACATAGTTCGAGAGACAGCACGAGAAATACTGTTAATCTACAGGCTGTGACTGATCGCATCATATTATTGAACTACCTGGGATAATCGCCCATCAACAAGAACACTAGCGTACCAAGACAATGCAGACAAGTTTCGATGCCCTAAAGAAGTGTATTTCATTTGGGACAGCGACCTAAGCAATATCTATAATCTATGAGGACTTTATTTCATTACATCTGAATATTTGGCACAGCTGTAATGTGTGACTATACCAGGCTGGCATCATCAAGGGGAAAAAGACTTTTATACCATTAATTACCAGTACTTTGTGTACTACAAAAAGCAATGCGACATACAATCCCATGATATTTTCTCTTCAGTTGATATCAGGATACCTAAGTAATTACCAAGGGAAACACCCAACCTGTCGAAAAACACTTAAACAACAATTAACCCGAGGTAAAGATCATAGTGTTTACCTAATTAATAAGTGAAAAATCGATTAAAAGAAAGCAAAAACATAAAACAGAATCCAACAGAATCATGGCGGCTCATTAATTTGACAAGGAGCCCTCCATGTTATCTAAACTTGTGCTGATCATGTTTGTGGAAATATGGGATAGGTCTTTCAAATTTTATTGTGGTTGTAAACAAAATTAAAAAATAAATATTTTTTTTGAGGCTGTGTTAAAATGTTCAATCTAGCTTAGCTAACTCTTATTTGAATAACTTTCTTCCTATAATAGCATTAATTGCGGAGCTATTTGGAGCACAAGTTGTAAATGTTCATACGACGTTATAAATATAGAGGCACTCCAATTTGGAATAACTTGCCACATGAAAAAAGTCAGCAGCATCAATTTTTCAAGTATAATTAGAAAACGTTCCGATGATGTTTCATTTTTCAAAATGTTTAGTTTTTCTTACTAACTATTTTTTTTTATTGCACTCGATCTATTGTAGAAAATCCAAAAGATGCAGTTTCAAGCAAAACACAGGGAAAATTAAAATTGTTTGACTGAATAGGGAGCAGAGAAATTGTGTATATTCAACAGAAATGTGTGTTACTTTCTGGCCCCAAAATGACCCCAAAAGCATATTTATGGGAGGATATATTTGATATTTTCGTATATCTCATCAATTTGCGAACATTTTCCAGCCAAAAATATCGAAAAAGATGGCTTTAACTGTTTTATCTGCGACGAGGATTGTAGGTTTAGAAATTTCTAATCTAAAAATAAAGTAATATTTGTGTTCATATTTCGAAAATACGGAATTTGTAAAATAGATTGGTTTGAGGGGGTATCTGACACAGAGAGCGCAATGCTGTCAAATCATCTGCGACTTGTAGTCGACGATTTTCCTCGATCAACCATTATTGAAAGTGGAACTGTTATTGAAATATCACCGAATACAAATATGTCATTGGGCGTGTCTCGTAAGCTAATTTTGTTGTTGACACCTTGTCTACAAAATGTGATGATTTTGCACGTTCGTGATATTTGCTCCCATTAGCTATGATTTCATTTCTTCAAAATTTCAACTGATTTTTTTTTTCAAGGGACTGAATAATATTTCAGAAAATACACACATATGCTTGTACTTATCAGACCGTATATAAACCCGGAAACTTCGGGCTACCTTCAGACAGCGTGTACAATGAAAAGCAATTCGACAGTCAAAACATCGTTCTAAATCTAAATATTCTAAATCACAAAATGAAACACTTCATTATACTCGCACCGTCGAAACAACTGAATGCCAATTTATGTTTTGGCTATCGACCTTAAGTTAATCCAGAACCTGGTTCAAAGTGAACGCCTCGAGAAGAACGTGAAGTTGATGCAGCAGTCACAATTCCACGAGATACCAAAAGCACGCCTCTGCCCACGTGACACTTGCGTCATTGATCATGTCTATAACATCTGTACTAAGAGAGTTACTAACGGCGGCATCAACCAGAGATGCTTTTACATCAACGGGAAACACGTCAAAGTCTGGGATGCTGCTACTGACGTCATTGATGAAATCAGCCAAATTACCCTGTGTAAAAATGAAATCAAGTTTCAATTTTCAATGATATTGAAAGCAAACGACAAGATGTTTTAGTAAGTTTGTGGTATGAGAGTCCGCGATATTGATCAGATCGGGTGATTGAAACGAAGAATACCTGATTGTCAATAGAATCGAGACATATTGTGCTGCAATGATTACTGTTACTCTTACCATAAATGTTCCATCATTGTTCAACACGTAATCCAATATATAATCAAACTCGTTTTGTGTCAGCCCACCTTTAAAAAACAACAGTTTGGAAATATCAATCTGGATGCTATTTCATGAAAAAATATGCAACAAGGCGTTTTCTTGAAAAAGCTCATATTATGATGTAATGTATATACCAATGCCAAAAGTAAAGTTTAATTTTGTCAATGTAATTAACATTTTCATTTACTTGGACCAACGGTTATGGCATATATGATGCTAAATATGTTTTAAATACCATTGTTGAGTATGTATGTGTAAATGCAAATTAGACTAACCTGTATCGGCGTGAACATAAGGAAAACTACTCACCAATGCCTACAACGGAAATGACAAAGATTACAAGTACTGTTCATGGGGTTATTAGCACGTGAGTTATTTTACATAAATGAATGAACTATAACTTACCAAAAGTAAAATAATATGCGCACACGAGGTCATTTTTTACGGCAGTACACCTCTAGCAAAAAACAAAAAGATATTACGAGGATTATGTGAAAAGTTATGTTGACGAGTAATCTATAGTTGACAAAATGCAACTGAATATTTTAACTGCAAATTTGGCATTATAAATGTGTAAGATGAATGATAAATGATATCAGTGAAATAAATAAAAATGTAATAATATTTAAACAGTGAATAATGAATAATAGTCTGATAATGTAACGTACGACTATCATTGTACTGACGAGATCACAGTATAGTGTAAGTACTACACTGTCAGGGACTCGTACATTGCAGACAGCCACGTTGTGGTGACACAAAACGTACAACAAACGATAAGCATTGGTGACTTGTTTTTGGTTAATTTACTGCATGTTTGACGCAGTCATTGAGTATATACTACAGTAAAACCAAGGATGTAGTTCAGATGTGACAAGTCAGCGTATAACGACGTTGTGGACGGAAAAAGCAGACGAAGGCAAAATTGATCACAGACTATTTGTCAAAACAAGCACTTTTCTAGGGATTAAAAACATAAAAAAGTCAAAACGTGTACATATGGAAAGAACACTTACCACTCATGGAGCCGTATATGAGAATGTTCAATGGATTGGTTTTCAATGTCTGTTGCGAATTCTGAGTATTTGTCCCTTTTATGTGGTTTTCACACCTTTTCCAATAACTGATTAATTATTCATGTGAGCCCCGACCTATTTCAAATCATGCTGGTACTGATTATTAATTTCTACATGATTCCAAAAACTTCGAATTCATTGCTATACCAAGTTGTTGTTGTTGTGGCAAGTTTGAAATCAAGCAGTTAACACTTTGTTAACATGACAAGAACAGTCAAATATAAATGGTAGACCGTAAATCACCATGGAGATCTTCAGGTAAATTCACCTATGCTGACATTATAATCATTTGGAAATTGTACTAAATGCCATATGCTTTAAAATACAACTAATCTTTCAAAGAAATAGATTAAAAACAACTAATCCTTCAAAGAAATCGAGTAAAAACAACTAATCCTTCAAAGAAATAGAGTATAACAATACACACTGTGTATGGGTGGTGTGAGTTTCATACTCAAATCTGTGTTAAATATCCTTTTGACATTCACCTGACGACGTTTTCAAATTAAGTGTAAAAATACGGCATGTAAACTTTTTGGCAATGAGTCGTTAAATCGAAAGTGTTGATTTAAATAAATATGAAACATATTCTATAAATAAAATTCGCACCGCGCGGTGATGGTGCTGAAACGATGTCGATAATTCACAACATGTGCTATCTTGCAAAGATAAAGGGCTAGGTTTAACATACATCTTTACGTCTATGTGCACGATATTTTTGCCAATAAAAATTGAAAAAGCAGTGACCTTCCAAGTGCATATTTTGTTGTTAAATTAGCGAAGTAGTTTAAATTATTATCATTAGTGTGCATTGTCACGTATTTAACATTTACCGATATTGTAGATTATATCTAGTAAAAGCGAAATATACCATACGTTGAAATCTAAAATATGGTCGGAAAAATTAAGCTTTGAGATCATCTGCATAATCCTATGAAGATACCGATACATACTCGTATAACCATAGGTATTATAAAAAAAAACATGCCACTTGAAATTCACTATATTGTATTACAGTGGTAAAGTATATGTTGCTCATCATGATATATTAAAATCAATCACAGAAGACCGATGTTCAAATATTCTTACACAATTGATTATTATCTTGTCATTTAGCTAGTTTTACAAGACTGTAACAATTAACACTGCATTTATTGATATGGTAGATTTAAGACCAAATACACAATATAATTAAAACAACTAGCATCAGTTGTTGCATAGACACGATCTATCTAACATATGGTGCGTTTTAATTGGCAATTGAATATCAAAACTCTTTTACGGTGAAATACCATGGAATTATAATTATTACAACATACATTTCACTAGTATGTATTTTATTCCCAATGCTGAAAATTATCTAATTATCCACAATTATCAAATGACAACAAATTTCTGAAACTGATTTCGGTGATGATCGGGATGAGTTGTAAACTACATATAGAACATCTAAAAGGTGAGCTTACATTTACGAAATATCAGTGAGTACCGAAAATTAATTTTCCGCAACTCGATTCCCGACAATTGAGATTACACCATTGTAGCAAATTTTAAACATACAATTGTATCGTAAATTCACATGTAGTATTAGGTGTAGTGTGTTACTTTTATATATAATTAATAAAAAATAAATGTCTGACTACGTTTTTAATTGATTTGCGTTTTTCCTCTGTTAATCAATTGAATGGTTGCATGTCTTTTGTTTTGCACGCAAAGTCTATCTATCATTGATAAATAAATTATTTGTACATAGTATAATATGCTGCATATATAGAAAAACCACTGCCCCAGTCACACCCAATGTGCAATTTCCAATGACTGTCTTTTTTTATTAAGTTCAAAACAACAAAGGTGTATATATTATTTTGATAGTTGTATTATGTACAAGAAGGTCAACTCGGTCTAAGCATTATGAACGACATACACCTAATACATCGTATATACTCGCGGCCTTTAGCAAATGTTTTTGAATTTCTATAACATATTCTTATATTGGTAACTTTTTCGGAACTTTATTGTAATTAGATAAACATGCTAACAATTACAAATTTTCGAAAATAACAGAGTACATATTTTATTCATTTTAGGCGTAAATTATAGTTAACAGTTTCAAAATTTGAACTGGATGAATGATTATGTAATCATTCATTTTCTCAACGGTTTCTCTCAGTCCAGTTTTTAGTTTCTGGTAAAAAATTCATCGAGAAAAACAAAACATGTGTGATATTAGATGTATGTGCACGTGTCAAATTGTGTGCCAGTAATATGACTAAGCCTACTCAAGTATTCATAAATTTTGACATAAATTTGAACATAAAATTACCTCGGTGCTATTTTTAGAGAAATACACTCTCTACGAAAGTTATTTAAACTTGAAACTTTTCTAACAACTGGAGAAACAACAAAAATGTGTAATCTCTTTAAACATAAAGAATATACCTCAGTGTTTATAATGGTCAATGCAGAGACAACACTAATTCGACTGCATATGAATACATAAATATAACAGCCAGCTGAAAAATACATTTATCATATATTGTTATTTCAGTGTAAAATACAGTTGAGTTTTTAAGAATGTCGGTTGAATCATTTCCAATTACTATGTGTATATGAACTATTTCGTTTTCAAATGCCTAATTTATAATGTTAATGCTGAACTTTAATTTACAATGTAGTATTTACTAATTTGTTGTTATTTTACTAGCGCAATTTGGAGTGACAGATGAGTTTACTTTGTACTATAAAATAGGTGAGTGTATTTGGGGTAAATCTGCAGTGTGATTTGAGCAGTTGTGTATCCGTGGTGATTAATCGTTACTCGACTGGCAAGGCATTCTCGCCGATGTAACGTATGGTACATAGGTGCATTGAGAGAAGTCGAATAGAAAGAGTGTGAAGTGGAGTTTTGGACTATTAGTAGTCCACAGTGAACAATGAGACTGAACTTGTTATAATAACATCATGTGGTGCCAGATCCTGGTTTACTGCTTGTACTTATAACGTGTTAAACTTCAAACATAAGCATGCAGAATAGCGAGACTCTGTTTTTTTAATATTAAACTGTAAGTTTGTGGAAACGTGACAATTATTAATTTAACTGTGTCACTATTTTCTATAGTAAAAATTTTTGTGTAAAAATGTCCGTTATCATGAATTCTGTACTGCACTTTAATATGTTTTCTTCTTGTGCTTGGTAATATATGTGGCTTGCCAGATATTTCTGATATGTAATATAATACATATCGTAAATTGTACAAATAGATTGGGAAATCAAAAAGACATTAAAGAAAGTGATCTTGATATCAAATTGTTCAAAATGTTATGCATTACATTTATGTCTCTTCCATGTGTTCGTTAGTAGAAATATTATTATATGTTCAATTTTATGATTAATATATAAACACTATATTATTGGAAGAGTTGTTGTGGGTCATACGCATATCTATCAGAAAGACCAGCTCAATCCGACAGCGAACTGCGCCCTCTATGATAAAGTACCAAGCTGTACCTCTTCTTGTTTGGCCCAATGTATATCAGTGAATTCTTTCCAAGTAAAAGATTTGCACTTAAATTCCAAAAGACGTGTTTCTCATATATAAAATTTTAATTTGAGTACAAGTTTTTTTTTACAATAAAAAACAGCATTCTTTATTCATTTATGGTACTATGATTCGTCGTACAGTATTTCCAATGACGGTAATAACAGATCCGTTTTTTCGTTTTACTTACTAACATGATCGTTTTACTTTTAACATGATAAGAATCAAGTAGATTAACACGCATACCAAATTAGTATAATGTAAGAATAGTAATAACACATTACCTGTAAGATAATTAGTGAAATGATGATCACCTTTATACCCGTGGTACAGTATACAAAAACGCGATGAAGTAATGTATTGTGTTTCTTTGTATATACTATTCGAAATAATTTGTAGAACACAAAAACAATTTCTGACGGAGGGATCACAATAATACTTCTGTTTTTGCTATTGGGACGGTAAGAATATCATTGAAGCGGGCTATGGCTCTGACTATCTCTGTTTGCTATAAGTGCACGTAAAGTCATACTTGAAGAGTATGTGGCAATATCTGACTATTATAATTGAAAACGCTGATGTAGAACAAATGTACAGTATTTGCAAACACTACCATTCTCTCAGATTCACTTTATTCACCTATTCAACTGTATAATTCAAAAGAGTTAAAAGAGAATTTAGAAAGGTACGGTTGCAGACAATATGTTCATATACGTAAATACGCCAGAAACACGCTACTATATCAGAGAGCATTCCCAACAATTAGGACTCGTGCTTGTGCTTTTCTTGTCTCTCCGATGACAATAATATGTCTTATATAAATATATGGTTTCTAAGATGTGGTTCCATATAGTGATGTATCAGATGGATAAATACATCCGTCATTATCCTATACACCAATTTCGCTTACCATTGAGATATGCTGATGTTGGAACATTTCGTTCCTCTTCATGACTTATTTCCAGTAATGAAAATATCGTGGTTACGTGTATAACCTTGGTGGAAGATATTATTACAGGGTAACCCAATATCAAAATTACCTGTCTCCGATTCACAAAAACTGTTGCAATGGTATTCTGTAAAGATAGAAGCGTGTGCACACTTGAGATGTGGTTTGACCATTTGCTCTTTGTGTGATGAAGTTTGTACACTGTTCAAAAATGAAAACGTATGCACTACCTTCAAATTTTACAAATATATCTCCCTTGCTGCTCACAGTACCTTGTCGAATTTCAAAGTCAAGGGGCAAACTAAACTGTGACTCCGATTATTGATATTGACGAAATCTGACGCAGGTTGCATTATCCGCCAAGTGCTATCTAGTTATAAATATAATGACAATACTAGACCAAATATAAGTTTAAGGGACTAGAACAAAATTACACAGGACCGCATAACAGTCTTTCATATAAGTTTCTTCACTCAATAAAGGATGCTTAAGAACATGTAACCAATATTATTAGGTTGAAGTTTCGCCTTGATCAGTTGATTAAGATGAGATGGTCCTTGCATGTCACCGGATCAAACTTCAAAACTTCTAAGCATTATGCCCGACAACCCAAAACAACTCCATTATACAGATGATCCCTACCTGAAGATCGAAATGTTACATATTTTTATTCAAAAGACTGGCATGCATGTCTTTCAGCATAACATTAAAGACGTAACAGCGAAATCGTATATGAAGGCATACCAGATAAGACATTATTGAAAAAAAATTGTTAGCTCAACAAACATTGGTATATGTGTAATTTGATATTCAGTATTGGCTACTGGTGCGACGTCACATGGTTACATTGTTTTCAATGTGAACATTTTGATAATAATATGTTGCTAAGGAAACAACTATTTCGACAGTTATTGCTACTAGAAATGATTTAGATGGATTCTAATTATGCTCTAAAGAGGTTGCCCTGGATATATGAATCAATAATATTTTAATAAAGATGAAGGTTTAGATGCCATCAAAACAACAATTTCGAGGATTATTGAAACATTATAAATTAAAATGTCATCGATGGATTCTTATGACAACAAGTAATAATTGGTTAAGTAGTTGAAATAGGAACAATGTTATCAATATCTATTCACTGACATGTTTTATGGATACTTCACAATTGCCAGATAGACTCATTGTATTTTTTCCTATATATTTGGGGAAAGCTAATAAAACAAAAAATAACTAATATATATAGTGACACTGCCATGTGTTCTTAGAAAGTAAAATGAAATAACGTGATAAGCCATTTGGAAGTAATTACATATATCAAAGCTGCATCACGTAATTAGGTTTAATTAGTTAACCAAGCAATCAACTCTAGATAGCACAGTGAAAAGTCAAGGTGGATGAGTCTGATCAATTTAATCAGCCCATCTGTGCGGTAAATAAAGTTTGTGCCGTACTTTATAGTTTTGCTATACTAAATAGAATATTTTGTATACTGATCCTAAAAGTTTCTTCTCAAGCTATTGGGTCATTAAACATAGTCGCCCAGACATTTCACCAGGCGCACCAGACATGACAGACGTTCAAAACGCAAACAGTGAAAGCATCAATATGAAAAATGTTGATAGTATAGTTACTTATCTGTCACCGTAACTACACAGACGATATTAGTATAGTTATTAAGGAAATCCGTTTTTACCCCAAACCAGAATTACCCGACAAACGTGTCATCATGACTGAAATTCGAGCATTCAGTCGTCAAAATTGTATCAAACCAAAGTCGTGGTTTCAACTACCACACGACAGACAACTTGCTTTGTGATCTTTTATCACAGCAATTAAGAATGGGATAACCAAGATCGCCCTCTGCCACCCACGCGATAACATTAGCTTCCCTTTGCATCAGGCTATGAAGGATAAAGGTGACACATTTGTCACCATGGATACCATGATTTTAGCTAAAATACATAAACATGGGACACAAGGCAGATTCTTTTTATTTGGATCCATTGTCTCTTGTAGTGAACGTATCTCAAATTTAATTGACCACAATTCGATGTATTTAAGTTGTTGAACTACTATCGTAACTCAAATTCCGCAACTCCTACCATCGGGTCATACTTGAATTTGCTGAGATTATTTCCACCTGCATCAATTTTGAGTTCACTGGCCAGCACTATCATCAGCAAACGCATGACTGTGCTGTGGGTCTTAAAGTGACAATTACCAATGCTAATCTTTTTATGAACGGTGTTATTGTCTGCCTCTGTCTTCACTCTTCTTTGCTGGAGACGTTACATAGCTAGATATATATTTTCATGACTTGAACCTACTAACTTCAGTAAATATGCTTTAACTTTCTGAACACCGCTAGTTAGCCAACAGATTCACACCGCAACATGTTGCTCTGATCATGTCATCCCTATTACTTGAAGGAATCCATTTCACTCAGTCAGTGTTTACGACTGGTTTGTGTTTACGATGTGTTTGTTCTAATAATAAAAAATATGAGCAACATGTGTCAGAATGAATACTTTATGGTGCGAGAGCAAATCATAAAACCAGCTATATCACGCACAGCATGTATCTTCAGACTTTAAACGTGGTAATAGTAAAATCACTAAAAATAGCCCAGGTCCATTTGTACTGAAAGTGTTTCTTTTTTCTTCAGGATTCCCCATTCCGCATATTGTTTCGTACACACGTTGTCTAAATCTAGGTGATAAACTCACTAAGTCTAAACTCAATTATTCAGTCCACACGTTGTGTTACTTGCAAGCATGCAATACTTTTGACAGTGGGTTAGCCATTAGAAATACCTCATACAATCGTCATATCAACTGTAAATCTATCAATGCTATAACACTATACCTTATTCAGTGTGATGTTTGTAACATTAGATACATTTGCAAAACAGGGAATAAACGTAAGACTAGACTGTTACAATGCCATACATCTATTCTTACTCCGAAACACTAACTATCCACACCACTTTATTCATTGACTATAACGAACCTTAAAACGAAGTTCAATAGTTCAAAAGTTGGCCCCTCATGGTTTGAATAGGAATGATGAACATTTGTTGTGACATTACCACCTCTGCATTATTATAGTTTCTACCAACTACCTTTATGTTAAGATAGCATTACACCTACTTTATGCCGTTTCAGCAAATCTTATTGTAGTACAAACACAGGTACTCACACACTATATACGTAGGCTATAGTGCCATTTGTTTGCCTTTTCAGTTTTGCCGATATTTACTTTCCAGTCCACAAAGTTTGATTATTTAATATCTACCCATTGTACTAGATTTGACAATGATGACCATAACTTTTCTATTTTATGAATATAGTTGAATATAATTTTTGCTGTTTGGAGAAAGGTGTTTTACAAAATCTACAGAGAAACGTCACCTGAATAAAATCTATTTTCAGCTAAGTCGTTGTAATGAGTGTGATCTATATCCAAAGTCTTATATGGATCACATATATTGTTGTACTATATCCATTTATATTTCCACACCACTGCCAGCATCAGGCAATGCTCATTGATCTGCCACTGCTGATAGTAACAACAGCGTTGGAGGTCAAAACCACTTCGTTTACACACAATATGTTACTGGTATTATAGGGAAATAATATACCTTTCAAAAACTGCATATCCCTGGTGACCAGAAGTTCATTGACTCCCGTTTATTAGAATAATTAGTTTTAGCAAGATATAACCAGTAAATTCCTCACAGCAATATGGCTTCATTTTAACAATCACCTTGTTGGTTGTATTATCAGTGTATGTATACAACTGCAGCGGATATTTTTCTTTGATATTTTCCCGTCATGTTAATCCTGTTCACAGATCATATAGTGATTTATTTTAATCAGTTTTCATATAGCAATAATAAAAAAAAAAAAAATAAAAAAAAAAAAAAAAAAAAATATGTTTGTGGTTGATGTTTTCACGGCAATACTTTTCCCAGTATGAGCGTGTCACTGGCTTTACTTACATATTCCGGTATTTACGGTAATTCTAAAATACTATGCTCAGATCATAGTAGGTGAGTACACGTTTTCACTTCATAACTCTCTTGTATTTTGTCAGGCATGTCACGTTTGTGGTATATATTCTGAATATAAGCTCACGCTTAATGTAAGCAACCTAATGACGAAAGTAATTACATCCCCATTATATATTATATATCCTTTTACAGTGCAGAAATCATTGATGTTACTAGTAGTATCGACGAGTTATTCGAGAACACATGAAACTCCAAGTAGTCTTTCTCAAACTCTTGGTAAGTAGGGTTATGTGTCATCACACGTATTCAGCTTTTGTCACACTTTACTTTCAAATTCATTTTAATTTATTTTGAATTCTTTAATTCTAGGCATTATTTGCGACTATTTCCAGTGTTTGTGGCGACACTGGTGAGTTTTACTTTTATTGCTTGACTTGTATGACAATATGTTGTAATAAAGTGTACTACTGAATTCTTGGATCTCCCAGCTACTGTTTAACATGCAACACATCGGAATAGTTATATTTAAGTGTGTGTTTATGCGTTTGTTTGTTTGATGAAACTGATCTTAATGAATACAAATTTGATATTCGTTTCGCGGTAAGAGTATCACTCATAACATAGTGGGTAACTGAGAAATACTTTTTTCATTAAATTATTGAAATTGTTTGTGAATATACATTTGTGTTGATGTTACAATTTAATAAACTCTATGTGGGAGACTTATTCACTTGTTCCACTAAATTTCCTGTTTATTTATCACACCATTATGTTTCTTTACGATGATTGTCTATTATTGTGATGTGTATGTGATAGTTCATACTGTTTTGTGCTTTCATCATCACGTTATGGTTATGCTAGAATCCAATGTCGTTTGGATCATATTCTTCATCAACTTCGATTTTATGTTTGTGTGATAGTTATGCTGTGTATTCAGCATGGTATGATGTGCTTTCCGTACTTCGTTGTGCTTTTATCGTAATGTCATCGTTTTTACGTCAAATTCCGTTTGGACCATATTATTGATGTCATTTCTTCATAATGTATTGGTGGTTACTATATTGCATTGATGTTGTTGGTTTTTCGTTAACTTGTTAGTCGAGGCAGTGGATAGGCAAGGTGACTGCCCACAAAGGTATACGCAACAATCAACGTCACCTTTGTTCAATTTAACTCGTAATCATGCAGCCGCGTGTAATAGTGTTGATAGTGTTTCTGTTGAAAAGTATGTCGAAGCCATTGCACAGGAAGTTGGCAATAATAATATCATAATCAAGAATGAACCATGCTGCTGTTGTCCCAGCAACATGCATTGCGATCCGTCATAAATCCGTGCGTGTTGAGCCTTTTGTTCGTCATGCCACTAAATTGATTCTGTCTAATGTACATTTTTGCCGTAAGCGTGCATTTTAAAATCTTTAGTTGAATACGGTTGAGTTGTTAGCAGAATTCGGACAATCCCGTTGGGTTGTGAGCTAGCTTCTCTCAAATACGTCAAGTCATTCAGGCGATAGGTGTTTATTTTTCAGAACGAAGATACTAAGAACATCAATGGTATATTATTGGTGCGGTATGATGGACATGATTACAATATCTATGCTTCAACGGATGAAATGAAATTTTTCAAAATGTTTTCAAAGTTCATGTCCGTAAAAAAACTTTTAACAATAATGAAATAACTGATGAAAATGCAAAGGAAACACCGACGGTCACAGATGGTAATAATGAACTTTATGTAAACAATGTTGGTGTAAATGGCAATGACACCGCTGTGTCGGCTGCGCAACTTTCGTTGAAATTACACCAGATAGGGAATCGATTGAGTCAAATACAGCCGAAAACGGGGATGTAACTATTAATATTAAAACGACTACAACTACAACAAAAGAAATAAAAAAACACAGAAAAGTGTGTGTAGTTGGTAAGCTCATACATACTATGTCAGCGGCTACAGATGGATGGGGTCTATTGATTCTCAACGCTGATGGTACGTTCTTTGCACTGCCCCCTTCCCCCAATGCTTTAAGGAACTCAATAGAAAAATATATCAAATTTAATCCAAAATAAAGTTATTTTTCAAAACAACGAATGAAATATCGTAATACACACCCGCTTGATAGCCAGGTGAAAGCTCGTACTGGAAAATGATTCGATACAATATTACTACATATTAAAACAAATTCATGTTTAAGGCGTAAGTGTATTTCCTTATAATTCAAATGGCAGGACTATATACAATATTATTGTTGTCATGACATCTATCGCTTGGATCTCTCTAAATGTCAAAGGATATCGAGAAGCTCTGAAAAAGTATCATGTATTTGAATTTTGTTTCGGATGATTTTTCTCACACTCTTGTCAGTGAAGAGAATATGCGGTACCCTGTTTGGCAAGAATTGGGAGTTTTTGTCACATTGTGATTCAAACAGTGCTGGTGTTGCGATTTTATTTTTATCTACTGCTGAAATTAATATTCTGCAGCAGACTGATATAATTCTAGGCCATCTTCTTCACATACATCTAAAATAAATGGCATTCCCTGTGACGTTGTGATTAGTTGATGGATGGCGCAATTTCCATGGCAATACCACTAACTAACCATGAAGCCACGGGGATAGTCGGGCCTGTCTATATAGGTTCTAGGTTAACAAACATATGACTAATCGAATGAAATCGATAGAAATAAGTAATTGGTCACATGCTAAACAATCATACAAAACTACAAAATACGAACATGTTGGGATATCGGAAAAACAGAAATTGCTAATGTGGAACAAAACAATACGCCATATTTAAATATGTATGTGTATTGCAACGAAAATAAACTCCTTGCATAGTTAAGGATAAGATAAAGGTTCATGGCATATTTTGTGATAGTTTTTGTTTGCATATTTTCAAATTTTGCTAAGTTATCTTCACACTAGTTAAAACAAAATATTTGAATTTGTGCTTGGAAAAGTGCTAAATATTAATAAAAAATGCGACGATAAACAGTTACACGTGTTCTTGTTCTTTGGCGAGACTTATCATCACACATTGACAGAGGATTGTGCGAATCACTGCCTACTTCTCGTTAATAAGTTTTGGCATGCTCCATTTAGTCATAACATCAACAAAATTGGGTCGATAGATCAGCCGACAGATAGCCGTTTCATCTTTCTGGCTGGGCGGAAGGTTGAGTAGCCTGAAAAGTTGGAGTAGGTGGGGCCGGTGACTGCTGCGAACCCACCCAAATTTGCGCATGTTGAGCCTTATGTTTGTCCTGTCAGTAAATCGATTCCGATTCTTTTATCACGCTACGACAAACTAACGTGACTTGTTGGCTCAATCCCAACTACCCATTATAATTTTCGTTTATATATTTGTGTTAAAATTAAATCGTTTTTCTTCCCATAATTATTCAGTGAACAAGTGGATCCATTTCACCGGGCGGTTTCCGAAACTTCGTTGCATTTTCCCCTAAATATGATCTTTTCGTCGATCAGGATGTCAAGGAGTATTATCCAAGCCAATTATCTTGACAAAAATAATAGTTTCCCACGTGTGGACTTAGTGGGCGACGAGCCAGACGCCCCCTTCAGATATCAATTGATAAACCCAGCCCACCGGAGGTCTACTTCGGCCAAGTCAATAGAAACGCGCCCCTACCGACATTCTGTTTCCATTAGGTTTCCAGTTGAATGACTTGACGAGATGACTTTATGCAATTTGCCATTTTCATTTTGCAATATTTTAATAGACGTTGGACAAACGCCGGATTGATGAAACAGTTTTTATTTTCAAAGTAGATTCTCATCTTGTATACCAATAACTCTACGTATCATAATTCGACGAACTTAATAAGACGACAGAATTACGAAGTCCTAAGTAGAATAGAAACAAACGGTGGTAATTTATTCATAAATTCAGAAGTTTTCAATTTTGATTCTCATTTCGAGAAAACAAACGCTGATCAGTTCATAACAATAAACAGGGGTTCTGCAACCTTTGTATGAATATTTGTCCCATGTCAGTAGTGACGACTTTGATCCTGATGACACCTTTGTAGAACTTACACAGACAGTCAGGCTTCTCCCTAGAGAACGGAATAAAGACATTGATGGTTTTCCAAATGTTATTAAACATTCTGGTCTCTCCGGTGAGAAGATCTTTTCGCAGTTCTACTACTACTTCAATAAATAATGGTAATCGTCCGTACGTGCTGTCATTTTTTATAATAGTTCATTAAAAAACTGGCTTCCTGCTAGTCAGCTTTGCAGCTAGTTTTGTTCATCACGATCGAAGTGGTAGCGTTCATGAGAGTCATATCCATGGCAATATTGATCTTTTTGTGTGAATGCTATATAATAGTTGCACTTGACCAACAAAAAGCCTTTGACACAATCAACCATATATTTACATAAAACAGTCACAGCATTTGGTTTTGGTTTTCATATAATAATTTACTAAATACTGATACCCAATCCTTGGTGAGAATTGACAATTCACTTTAACTGACCCAATTCTTTTATCCATGGGGCGTATCCAGACAAGGTTGTTCACTGTCTGCTCAATTGCATGTTCTTGCTATAGAACCTCTGCTAAATAAAACTATTGATAGTAATATGAATGATCATGTCAATCCGTGTTTTGAAGAACTACAACTTATAGGCTAATTATAGAATTTTATACATTTTACCCTTTTCCACAGATGGTTTTCAGAATTCTACAGGTTATTTAAAAGTTTTAATTAGGCAGTATTCAAGTCACCATTCAAAGCTGTTCTATGTTCATTTATTGATCACTAGATTCACATCACTAGTATGATGTTTAAAAGCTTTAACAGCTAGATATTGCTTCAAACTGCTCCTCATTAGTGGGTGTTTTTAAATGATAGAGACCATTATTGCGAAAATAAAAACAACCACTTGCCGACCCTGAATATAGAATAATTTATTATCAATTATAGTCTATAAACATATAATTTATTACTTAGTTATCAGTTTCATAACTCACAATACAGCTGTCACACAAAGACACAAAGAGTAAAGTAAACTTAAACATTAAATGCGTGAATTTCTTGAAACTTTGTAATAAAAACCTTAATTATCTTCTGTGCTGTCTTGGATAAATTAGATTACATATTAATCATTTATTTTTGGTAAACATGTATCATGAACATGAAGAAAAAGAATTAAATAATATAACATATGATTTGATCTTTTTAATAAATTATTATCACATATTTTCGATTCTCTATTTTGGTTGTACCTATTCGAAATGAGAATTGTCATGACCATCTCCTATATGTGTTTTACTCTGAATCTAGCAATACATTTATTTCATAAATATACCGCCGCATGTCAGTGAGAGTCACCCTATTTTGACATTAAAATACATAAAAACCTAACTGTGTTGGTGCATTTAGACTATATTCAGCAATGGTGTAAGTGCTGCAACAAGTTGTGTTTCTATGATAAACTCTTTATTGTTCATACATTATTACATAAATAAAAAAAACTGATGATGGAAACAAGTGTGTCATGACGATTCTACACAAATGATTCTACAAAATTGTATAGACTTTCTATGGACATTTTATCAGATTTATTCTAAAGAAACAATCCTACAAATAATCTTCAGAACTGTTTGGAATTCTATAATAGAAGTATTCCGTAAGGGTTTCAACTTATGCAGAGTTGCAATCAAGTGCAAAAACGTTTCAATACAACAGATATTCGAAGGTGATAAAGGTAGTTCCATTGGTTTACTCTGTGAAGCCAAGGAACACAGTTGTTTTCACAGTTAACAGTTTGATTTCAGAAAAAGAATTAGCTGTGTATTAGTGCCAAAGCTGATAAAACATTTCTGTACATATCTGGTGTTTACACACAATACTATGATGTATGCACATTGTAAAACGATATGTGCACACGATAACATAATAAGACATACTAACGTTATGTAAGAACACAATGTGATGTTTGTGCTCCATAACATGATAAATGCAAAACAATATTTGCACACACTGACACGATAATTGCCTTCAATAACATAATGTTTTAAGGCTACATTCATAAGATTTAGCCAATAATAACAAAAAGCTTCCGATATTCTGATAATTCTGATATTGTTTCTTGACTGTTACTTGAAACATTTCAAAAGTGTATTTATCTATCTACAACTGGATAGTATGAACGCTTCATTTCACACCTACAACCTCTATGATCCGTGGTACATCGTGGCCATTCCAGGATGTAAACTCGTTCTTACAATTATATAATTACAACATTAGTATATCTCTACTTCCCGGAAACGTGCTTTCCAATACGAGACTGATTTCTCTATAAGTTCGGCCATTTAAAATCATATTCTGGACAATTAAATGGTCAGCTTCCATTGCTACTCCAAAATCATTCAGAAAATGGCAGCGCAAAAACCTCGCAAATTCATTTTATTGCCACTTTACAGCGGTTTTTACAGACACCAGGTAATTCTGTTACCCAATGGCTGAAGCAATTTCACATCGACCAGACACGCCCCAAAACAGATGACGACATTTGACAGGATCGGCCAATGCGCATGCGTATAAAACAGCTGGTACTAATATCCTAATATCCTAATAACTTATTTTGCACTCGTACAAATGCAAAATACATATTTGATTAGGTTGGTTGGCCATCAAGTACCATCCTATGGCACCCAATTCATATATCACCAATACCATTGTACAAAGTTATGTTAACAGCGAGTCAATAATAAGACTAATGTACTAAATTTGTATTTAGTTAATTGCAAGGATGAGATTACATTGTGAAATGGCCACGATGTACCACGGATCCTCTATGCCACTTTTCCCGGATATGTCTAAAATAGGCACATGCCCTTGTCAGAAATATCAGTATAATAACATTCTCTAATTAAAATGAGTTTTTCATGTTTGTACATAATAGTGAAAGCCATGAATTACTAAAAAAAAACACCACAACTGCTACCATCCATGTAATCGATTATGATTGTTTGTCTATGGAATTTAACAACGATATTGCAATTTTGACAACAGGTGGATTGACGCAGGAAGATTATGACTTCATCCTTCAGTATGTCACGCATTCTGGAGGGTTTTGGGTAAGAACAGATATCAATGATTCGTATCAATGAATGCTGCAACGAATATATGTCAGTTATAAGAACATGATAACACAATATATACCGGCATGTTTAGTAATATTTCATTGTCAGTGTACAAACCTTGTTTGTTTTAAATGTTGTTTAATATATATTCATCATTTTAATATTTCAGGGAAATTTAGCTGATTACATCAATGTCGTCAGAAATATTGTCTCTGACTTTGACACATATCCAGTTACCGTGAAAGCATCACTTGTTGGCGCCGCTGTTATCGAATCTCTCACTACTGACGTCACTGATCTAATTAATGACGCTAATTCTACTTGGGCAGAGGCTTGTTACCTATATATGAATAGCGAACTGAATGCAAATGTATCATATGGGTGTATGTAATACTATAATGCACATTGTTCACATATACTGTGGTTTACAGCAAAATTAACAGCAACAGACTGATAATTATCGGTTATATAATCACAACAACTTAATTCCGCAATCCACTACACATAAAAGTCTACCTATGTACACGTGTGAAAATCTATTGTTATTAGTTCATGATCTTAGGAAATCAGTGAACTAAATTTGACATATAATAACCATCACTTTTGTGATTATTAATTTGGCACTTCAAGTGATGGTTTGAAACTCTGTTTTGAATGTTTTCAGATAAATCACGGCACTGTGAAGTTCTTTTTGCTTATGGTGGGACAGTTGATGAAATTCAACCACGAGATTACTTTTATCCACCGTATGATGCTTATAATTCCTACGGTTATGATCCTCGGACGGATTATCATGGCCACTATGAATGGGAATCGCATTCTAAATATAACCCGTGCTCATATGACTATCGTAAGTATTTATCTTCACGGTTGGCAATTCACATTCTACATAATGTTTACGTATACTAGAATGTACCATGATGTATACTATTTAAAACGCAGTCAACATATTACCTAAAAGTAGCTAGTTAACTGTTCATATGTGCATACTGAATGAATGTATTAACCGCGCATGTATACACATTTGTAGTACGAGTAATAAAACTAGTAAATGTTGCAGATTACTGTAAATGCATCTAATACAGAAACACCAATTGCCAATATGGCCCAGTAAATGACATGGGTGTCAATACAGTAGAATATAATTTCAGAACTTTTATTTTACTTCACTGAGACTTGTGTAATTAATCTCTCGACCTTAGCTATGTGAAACGAGACTGCATTTAACTAAACGAGTTTCTGCTCGAGATTTGAAAGGTCATCATAACTAAGCAACGATTGATTTCTGCAAACATCCGTACACTGAATTATATATTATATATTATAAAACACAGACACAGCCCGTATGTTTAAAATTTCACTTCTAAGATATGCTATTTAGGACAAATAAGAATATCTGAAACCATATTACATTTTATATAAACAACAAGTCTACATATCATTTATTTTTAGGATTATTTTATCCATATGGCTTGAAGTTCGGTGATAACAAGAATTTCATCAATGACGAGCAGAGCACAGGACAAATACAGATTTCACAACCCTTTCCTTTGTTTGGCACTAAGTATAATTTGCTCCGTGTAAGGCAATGTTCAAATATATTCCTTGATGTGCTTTAAAATTCCTCTGGACTATATGCATGTGTATAGAGTTTCACCTTCTATATTTGTTGGAAATTGGATTGTTGTTAGGGTATATATATGTAAACCCATATTGCACAGCCGGATAGCAAAAGGCCTGAAAAAAGCAATAAGGGTTTAAACAGTTCTGTCAGTTGCCGTTCTACTGGAGAGTGGAATCCTAGTTCTACGTATTGTAATATTTAAGCACCATGTGACACTGTTATAAAAACAGCATGGCATGGTATCATAGAAATAATGGGATGGCTCAGCTTTTGCACAGTGAGCGATTGTAATGCCATGTCATATGTATGTAAGTAATATTGTACATAATGAATTATTAACACAATGTATACACATTGTCGCCAGGTGAATACAAATGGTGTAATTTCAGTCAAAAAGCACAAGTACACCTACAGAGATTTCCCTGCGGAATTTCCTTTCACTGACCAAACGCCTATGATTGCACCATTTTGGGGAGATGTTAGCACCATCTTTGGTGGAAACGTTTACTGGAGAGAATCGACAGATCCGATAATCATTGCCCGTGCTCTCAGAGACTTGAAGTCATATTCATGTAACTCCGTAGATATCAATGTTAACTGGGTATTTATTGCAACATGGGACAACACTGCTCGCAGTAAAGAGTATTGGTACGATGACGAAAATGAGGTAAGGATTCTACTATCTCGTCTTAATTTAATTTAGTTTTCAAGAAGTCAAGAACTATATTGATACGCGAAATATACTCGTCACTGTGAAACTAACTTGTGGAACAATATTGGAATATCGTGTGGTTCATTGGAGTCATTAAGTGAAGAAACCGGATAGTTCCTATATTTATTCATTTTATGTTGAAAACCATTTTTCAATGTCAGTTTAGCTGGATCCCGAGTCCGAGTTTTTGTTTCCCGATTACCAGAGTTTACAGTGGAAGCGTTCTATTCTGTGTTAGTATCACACACATTTATTCAATTCTCAAGAAGAAACTCGGAAAGTGGGATCGAATTTAGAGAAAAAATATCAATAAATGAATATATAATTTATCACACGACGACAACATTGAAATATGGGAGGTAATTTAGCATGTCGAAATATAAAAAAAACAATAACAAAAAACAGGATTCTCATGACAAAACTTAATCTAGAAAAAGAGACCATGCTTGAAAACCTTTCAATATAATAAGAACATGGTGAAAAAATGAAATACATAACTAATTATTTTAACTGCTTTCTGTCTAACAATATAGTGCAAGACTACAAGATGACCGACTTAATGCAGTCTCTCATATCCTTCATAAAAAATATACTGCATTTTTTTAATATTCAACGTTTGGAAAACTTGATCTATTATCGATATCGGATATCAATGACTTCTATTTATGATTGGTGTTAAAATCGATGTTATTATCACGTTTTTACTCAACATTGTCATTATTCACATGTTCACAATAGTATTTTCAGAGAGGAATGCAAAGTATTTTGTTCTTGTAGCAACTGCAACCTCCTCCGTTGCGTCATGGTTAAATCCATATTTGATTAGCTCAACCAGGCTAGAGAGACAGGTAGGGCGAGAAACCTCATAAGAATATAAGCGCCATTTTCGAAAATTGTGTCCAGAAAGGACTGGGCAGTTCCTGGTTTTTATGATTCATCTTGCAATGGTAATGTAATTTGTACGTGTGATATGAGGTAATATGGCAGCGCGGGTGGGAGGTAACATTTCACTCCAAACGTTGTTGGAATAAAAAAAAGCTTCCATCGCAATGTTTGTAAGTTTTTTGGACCAGTCCTGTTGAACAGAATGCCGAGCAAATATACTGTTCTGAATATTTACTAGTGATAGAAGTTTACAAAAAGACCAGTACAGATGGGATATAAACTTCCAAAGCTTCCTGAAGTAATTGATGCCAGTTTCATCTACATTAAGCTTCATGTAAATAAAAAAACAGGGTTCTCTTTGAGATACCAACATATTTATCACGCCAGTCATTCACCTTGACTCTCCTACTGTTCAAATTCCTGAACATTTTGTGTCATCAGTTTTGCAGAAGTTGACCAGTGACAAGATGGGGTTATAGTCACTTAAAGGTGATCGCCGCGCAGCGCGTGTTCGGATTTCACGTAATCAAACGATGCATTTTACACGTCCCATATCTAACTCGACGACCACAACCCTTTGAAATCTGACAGTTCCGTTTTTCTAGCTTATAATCTTTAGCGATACCAGTCGCACATTATGGTGGATATACTGCCTAACAATCACAATAGTACTGTTTTGTCACATTTCAAAAATCCATTCCCCCAGTTGTACATTGAGAATTAATGGGTTGCTCGCAATTTGCGAATGTGGCTTCGTATACTATATACGAGTAGTAGTTCATTTTGTTAAGTGTTACTAGGCCTAAATGCGAGAAACTGTTTTTCATGCATATCTCTTTTGAGAAATATAAAAAAATGACCAATATGCTTGGGCGTACAGCTTTCTATATTACTAGCATTACATGTCCTTGTAGCACGTCCGAGTCCAGAAAAGAATCTTAGTACTAATAATATCATATTCTTATCACGACTCTTTGAACTTGGTTAACTGCACAATAATTAGGTGGCGAAATTTTAATTAAATCATCGTAAATCATCTTTGTGGCATATTTTGGAAAAATAATGATACGCAAATTATACAATAACTCGTTTCCATTTCATGTCAGAAAAAAGGTGCTTTCAAATTGTGGCGACGTTTTTTTTTCATATAATATGCTTACGGTTTCTCACATAACAATTTTAGTGCATATTTATATGAACCAACATAACATTGAACTCTATAGAACATGGGTATTACGGTCGCCGAATGAACATATTTAGAACGCAATGTATTTCAGATAAATAATATGGTATTATATTCATCTATTCATGGAATTAATAAGCTGTATTCAATGATTAATTTTGCCGTCGTGTCCGTCGGCCAAAAATTATCTTTCCTTGACAAAATATAGTTTCCAACAATTATAACTTAAACATTTTTTAAATTAGTTTTCGCAAAATTACATCGTTGACAACGCACTTTAATATTGACATTGGTGATAATTAAGCGTTCCCCTGCGCAGATTTGCTCTCTAAAATGTCATAGTGTGTTTCACAATTTTATATTTAATATTGACAATTATACTGAATAGTACAATCTCGCTTACCATAGTTCATAATCCATCAAATCGCATGTTTTTCATCAAAAATTATCCGTAACGGTAAAGGTATACAACTAGCTTTGTAGCTAAACGTGCCACAAACTGCCAGTTACAGACGTTTGAGAAAAGTTGAATATCATAAGGCATTTTCATTATGTTTTTAAAATATGGTTCATGCCATCAGGATATCAAAGATTTCGGTTCCAGGTCACTTTTGCGAAATACAAAAGTAAGAAAGATTGTGAAAAATGAGTTTGTCATTTTACATTAGTTTTTATGATGTTTTTATTTCTTCATATTTCTAAATTTTGCTCGGTGACATTGGATGAATAATTCATATTATTGTTGTTGTTTTTTACCCTCGTGATATACATACTTCCTTTGATTGAAGGTCGTCGGTGTTTCCGACATCTGTCCAAAATAACATTGTAGTAGTAGTGAAAAAACTGATCCCTGGACCAGAAAATTTGGCTTGTTGAGGAACGCCTTAGCAGAGAGACAGGATAGCTGTCCATAATCTGTGTTGGCAGTTCAATCGTCGATTGTTGTTTTTTTTGTTTTTTTTTGTGGATTTGGCTAGAAATGTAACTTCAAATACAAGTTTTTGAAACGGGAGGATCGTAACCTGTGCACGCGCGGGAATAGAGTCCCAAGCGTTAATAACAACACACGCTAAAACGCAAAGGCTCATGAGTAGACATGCGCAGGCATGGAAGATTCTACAGTTCTAGCAATGAATATTCTTATTTTCATTTTAGAGAAATACTTTCCAGGCTGTGTTGATAACGGATGGTGAGCAGTCTTTCACTATTTTCAACTATGGTGACATTAACTGGACAACTGGTACTATGCGTCGCAAAGGTGGCATACCAGCTGAAGTAAGCCACATTATTATTAAATAATATTACAACAGTTTTTTATGTACGTCTGTTAGCTCTGCTATTAACAGTGATGGTAACTCAATAAATTAGTTGCCTGACACAATGACTTAACACTGACTTTAATTGCGGATGAGGTTATACAGGCGGAAAATGAGGGCAGATTGTTTTTGAATATTTGTCACATTTCTTTAAAATCATATAACAACTATCGTTTGGTATACGCTATATTTATAAAGTATGCACACACAATGCGCAGAACAATGTATATGCAGTATAAAGTTAACTGGTTGAACCATGTAACCACAGCGCTAAAAATAAAATCGCTGTACATATTCGTGTCAGCCTAAGAGAATTAAACTATGTCTCTAAGTTCTGTTGAGCTCATAGAAGCAACCAAATTTATTATAATTAATATCCTATGACACGTTAGATAATAGCTCATGTACTTATGCTTCTGGTATCGTTTTACTATACTTCATTATGATCAGGTTGGATTCAATGCAGGGGATGGCGTGTCTTTCTACAAGTTAGCGGCTTCAATGAAACCCGAAATAGTCAATATAAGAGAGACATCCAATGTCGGTATATTGGGACGATATGCCTTTAAAACCGATCGAGAAAACATCGAGGAAATGTGTTGTGCACATGGAGGTTAGTGCAGTTTAGTTTTCAACTACAGGACTTGAGTTATATTCCATCATGTTCTTATAATTCAAAATAGTGGTTCTATTTACCACACATAACCAGCATTTATCATGTTAAATCATCAAACTGATTATTGCAATAAGACAAAATGGAAACAAATAATTTGATAGCATATACATGGTCTAAAATGACCTATGAAGTACCGATCTGAAAGGAGAAGATGGGAAACAAGCCACCATTACCACGAAATGCATTCTGGGTATTTATGATATCATAAAACTGGGAGACGCGGTGGTGCTTGCCGTTGGCAAGAAGTAAGAGAATGAAGATAAAAAACAACTAGTAAAAGCAGCAAAGATCTAATAGAGCTAATAAATACGTTCCATTTTAAGACAATGCTATTCTTGATCAGCCTACTAGGTCTACACGTTGTATGTACACGTACCAATGACTTTTGATGTAATTTTTTTAGATTCAATCATATCAATCCTATCATAAAACAAAGCAATACATTGAGCAGTTTCAGGATGTGTTTAAGTTGTTCGAGCGTTGTTAAGCTTGGTTGATACTGGATCGTTTATCTAATGATCATATATGACGTCAAGAGTCATTGCTGAGGGCCTATCAGTATTACAAAAGACATCATTTTTAACTAAATCCTCAAAACAAACTGAATAGCTTTCATCCATATTTCACACAACCTCTTTTCCAGGTATTAGTTGCGTAACAGTCGGGTATATAAAGTATATCTCATGAGTTACCGTACACTATACATTTTATTTATAAAACGAGCCTGCACTGCACTCGTTCAAAAATAAACTTGTAGGACCACGAATAAAGTTTATAAACGCTACAATGTAACGCACTGACAGCAATTTGTAAGTCTGTATTCAAAACTTTGTAGAGATTCATTGTTTATTGATATAAATTTATGAACCCTGATTACCATTAATTTAACCTGTTGTGATTAGGAAATATAGATTTTAGTGTTATTCATAAAATTCCCCTACCCATGGGTGAAATAAATTACACCACTAGAAAAATAATCTGCTTGCGTGAACCTATTAGGTTAGCAGAATATTTATTACATAATATGATTATATATAAAATACATTCTCTGCTTCATTATACTAAACTGCCATGGTATACAGGATAAAGTAAATTCTCTAACATTTATAATTGCAGGTTCCGAATCATGCTTTGCTGTTCGTTTGCAATATTATTGTTATGAAATACACACCGAGGAAGTGACATGGGCCACTGCTGCAAATCACTGCAACAGCATTGACAGTGACAGTTACTTAGCCAGACTTGACACACAAGAAAAATTCCATAAAGTTAGAAAATTCATTTATGATAACGGTCTTGATGATAGAGTTCGAAAGGGCTTTTGGATTGGCCTCAGTGATCGTGTGAGTGAAGGCACTTTCAAGTGGGAGAAAGGCCCTCATTTAGGGCCTAACTCGTTCACCAGGTGGGCACCAGGACAACCAAATAACAACTACCAGGGAGATCATGTTAATGGACAGGACTGTGTGCAACTGTGGTAAGTAAGATTCAGTGGAATTTATATTTAAAGCAGCGATGTTGATAGAAATCGGATCTTCATAAACGTCTTGTAATATAGAACATACATAATAGAAAGTCTCATTTCAACAGGAAGAAGAGTTATCTTCAGTGGGATGACGATTATTGTGGTGATAATCCAGATGGAAAAATCAGAAAGAAGGGATATGTATGTCAGTATGGTGAGTAATGACGTCGCTTTATTTATTTAGTAAATTCACACATTCTAATGGTTTTGCCGAGAAAGTGGTGTACGTGGCTATCGCAGCCTGGTGGTTAACAAGCTATAATACCATCGCCAAAACACGTGCAACCAATTCATAACATACCTTTGTTGTGTTTGTTATTTACAGACTGTGAAGGAGCATGAAGACGTGTGCATTACGATATTGACAGTATGTCCATGATAACGGTGCATTACCTAATGACTGTTCGCTATACTTTTTTGTGTGCATTCATCATAGTTGTCTTCGCTCTAATTTCCTTTCCCATTCATGCGTACAAGAATGAAATAGAATACATCAAATCAAAAGCAATTCCAGCGTCCGTGTATGTTTCATGTGTGCATGTGTAGAATATGAATATGAACTATGAGAGCAATTCAATTGAAATGTAGCATGAAACAGCAGATATATTTCATAACTATCAGTCGTAAATATGTGAATTAGAAATAACATACTAAGTCATGGATATGTCGTACAGAGAAACACGAATCCAGAACAGCCAACCAAAAACCGTTCCCAACAAAATCATATCATATATGTATATGAGTTTGTTTCAAATATAACAAAATGCTTATCAAGAATAGCATTGTCTTAAAATGGAACGTATTTATTAGCTCTATTAGATCTCTGCTGATTTTACTAGTTGTTAATTTTCTTACTTCTTACAAGCACTAAGGTGTCTCCCAGTTTTATGACATCATAAATACCAAGAATGCATTTCGAGGTTATTGTGGCTTGTTTCACGTCTTCTCCTTTCAGATCAGTACTTCATAGGTCATTCTGGACCATGTATATGCAATAAAATTATTTGTTTCCATTTTGTTTATTGCAATAAACAGTTGGATGATTAAACCTGATGAATGTTGGTTATATGTGGTAAATAGAACCACTATTTTGAAATATAAGGGCATGATGGATTATAACTCAAGTCCTGTAGTTGAAAACTAAACTGAACTAACCTCCATGTGCACAACATATTTCCTTGATGTTTTCTCCATCGGTTTTAAAGGCATATCGTCCAAATATACCGACATTGGATGTCTCTCTTATATTGACTATTTCGAGTTTCAGTAAAGCCGCCAACTTGTAGAAAGACACGCCATCCCCTGCATTGAATCCTACCTGATCATAATGAAGTATAGTAATTCGATACGAGAAGCATAATTACATGAGCTATTATCAAATCTGACATAGGATATTAATTATAATAAATTTGGTTGCTTCTATGAGCTCAACAGAAACTGCAGACATAGTTTTATTCGCTTAGGCTGACCTGAATATGTACAGCAATTTTATTTTAGCGCTGTGGTTACATCGTTCAACCAGTTAACTTTTTAATGCATATACACAGTGTTGTGCATTGTGTGTGCATACTTTATAAATATAACGTATACCAAACGATAGTTATTATATAATTTTAAAGAAATATGACAAATATTTAAATATAATCTGCCCTCATCTTCCGCCTATATAACCTCATCACGAAATTAAAGTCAGTGTTAAGTGATTGTGTCTCAAACACTGTTTACCATCCGTTATCAACACAGTCTGGAAAGTATTTCTCTAAAATGAAAATAAGAATATTCATTGCTCGCACTGTAGAAGTTTAGATTTCATCTAATGCAATCTTCTATGCCTGCGCATGTGTATACCCATGAGCCTTTGCGTTTTAACGTGTGCTATTATCATCACTTTGAAGTTACATTTCTATCGCAATTCACAAAAAAACAATGGAATATCGAACTGCCAACACAGATTATGGACAGCTATTCTGTCTCGTTCCTCAACACGCCAAATTTATCTGGTCCAGGATCAGTTTTTTACTACTACTACTACTACTCGGAGGGGTCGGACGTGTCGTGCAGTCGCTCCGTCTATCAGTTGTTTGCAGTAGTCACTGGAAGTCCTTGGGACCTCAGATCTTGTAAATACGTTTTACTTGTTTTTTGTACATATTGCTGGGTTCATTTTGGTTTCGTTTTAGTCTTTATAACCAGCGGATTGCTGGATTATCGTGTCTTTATGGGTTAGTTGTGCGTGTGGTTGGTGGTCGACAAGATGGCGGCCACTGAAAAAAGGCCACGTAACGCAAATTCTAACTTAACACGTAATCATGCCATCAGGTGTGAAAATGTTGAAGGTGTTTCAGTGAACGCATATGTTGAGGCTGTCGCCGATTTAGTCGGCGCTGATAATATTGTGGCTGCTTCACGCATGAACAAGTCTGTTGTCATTTTCCTTGCTCATGTGTCATGGATTGACGTGGTGACAGTACAAGGCATCAATCGGTGATCTTCATATCACCGTTGAACCAATGGTTAGATCTTCAACAAAAATTGTGTTGTCTAATGTTCCACCTTTCCTACCTGATGAACTCATTGTCAACTCACTGTCTGTATATGGTCGCGTTGTCAGTGGTGTTAGGGCAATCCCACTCGGGTGCAAACGATCAACTCTGAAGCACGTCAAATCGTTTAGAAGGCAAGTGTATGTATACCGTAACAATATTGACATCAATGGTTTATTACCTATAACATATGACGGTTTTGCGTACAACATATATGTTTCCACTGACGAGCTACAGTGTTTTTCTTGCAAAAAACACTGACATATTCGTAGAAACTGTCCAGGCATTCTGCCCATTGTTACGCAAATTAACACCAACACAACAGGTAGCAATGATAGCGAAAAACATAGAGAAAATGTCACCACTGTAAACAATGATGAAATCACAGAGAACAATAGTAGTAATGACAATGACGATGCAATGGACACTCAAACAGAAAATGCAACGATTCACACCAATGACACTAAACACAATGAAAATGAACAACTGATAACAGATTCAATTACCATTGAAAAAACCGTCACAGATAAAGTTAATGTAGAAAGTAATATTTGTATTGATGAAGTGAGGGTACGAACCCCTCCTTCAACCACTCGTGATACACTGTGTACCACGAGTCATCACTCACAATCACATTCAGTGATAGCTGAAGGCGAAAACAATCAGTCACCCAGGCATACAATGCAACACGTATATGCCAACGTGACGGTGGTAAATCCCGCACCCCCCATTGTAGAGAATCCTGACGCCCCTGATGATTCTCCACTGCCACCCTTTCCGCCAACCCCAGTTTTAGAGTTTAGCCAAGACTACTCTCCAGGTTCTATGATTGATGAATCGCAAGATTTATTTTCAAGTTCACCAGTAAGTGAAAGCACTGCAGGCATCGAAAAACCAGTGAGTGTGAAGACGATGACAACGTTTCCGTCATGTCAAACACACCAAGTTTAAATGAACAAATTAAATCCCTATCAAACACATCTATTGAAGAATACCAAGTGGACACAGTGCACTCAAAAGTATTCATTTCAAAATGTTTCGAGTTTTATCCAGACCTCAAAGTTCTGGCTAAATGTCTGATAACTTACATAAACTCGACAAAACTCACAACATCTCAAAAAGCACGCATTCTAAAACTGGTAAATAAAATAAAACTACATATCAAAACTACGGGTAACTTCACTGCCGAATTCTAATATATTCCGTAACCATGGCAGCATCTCTTTCAGCAACTACACTGAATGCCAACGGGTGTCGTGACGCATTCAAAAGAAACCAGGTGTTTGATTTTTTAAAGCGTAATCACAACGCTTATTTACATTTATTACAGGAAACACACACACTCGCTCAAGATGAAAACACGTGGAAAGTGATTTGGCGCGGCAGGTGTCTGTTTTCGCATTGCACTACTAAGCAGGCTGGTATAGCTATTTTATTTAAGCCAAATTGCAAAGTAAACATTATTTCCTGCAAGGAAATAGTACCTGGGCGCCTTTTACATGCCAATGTTAACATTAATAACAACCCGATTCATATAATCAATGTGTATTCACCCACTAATGGTAATGAGCGTATGGAATACTTTAAAGTACTGAAGCACCATCTCAATACTTTGAATGGGGACCCCATACTAATGGGAGGGGACTTCAATTGCACGATTGACCCACATC